GCGCTGCTGCTTGTCGGCGCTGTTTTGGTGCGTCTTCTTCGCCAAGCACCGCGCCAACGCCTCTTCCTCCTCCTCCTCCGCCGTCGAGTCCGTCTAAGCAGCAGCAGTAGCAGCAGCAGCTGACAGCAGAGGCATCACCAGCAGCAGCGACAGAGGCAGTGCCGGCTGCTGCTTTGCTCTCTGTGATGACGACGACGACGACGACGATGACGGGGTGATGACCATGCTTGCTTGCTTGCTTGTTGCACCATTTTGTTCATCTGCGTTTCTTTTCATTCACCTGTCTGTTTGACCCCCCCCCCTCCTTCCTTGCTTTGCTGTCCTGCTGTGCCAGCCATGACGGGTTTTGTTTTTGTTTACATATATTCACCTCCCTACCGCAAAACACTTGGATGTCTGCTTAACCCCTCCCCCCTCTGCCGTGAGGCGTTGTGTCTCTCTGTCTTGTCCTGTCCTGTGTGTGAGTCACACTCCCCATAAACGAACCAACCAAGAACCAACCAAGCAGACCGAAAGAAGGAAGCTGCATGCAGAGAGAGAGGCACATTGCGAGTGCGTGGGGAGTTGGGGGAAAAAAAAAGGGCGCTGCCGGGAATCGAACCCGGGACCTCCGCGACCCGAACACGGAATCATGCCTCTAGACCACAGCGCCAACTGCTTGAAGCTTTCTATTGCTTCTTGCTACACGAGGAGAATTTTACCATTATAAATACAATTTGAATTTTTGGCCCCTCACAAAGCACCAAGCAAGAAGAGCACGCAAAGCAGGAGACACAGCACACTTTCGTTCAACATCCCAACAACAGAAAGGAAGGAAGACAGCGTTGCACGCACAGCCATGTTGAGCTCGAGCGACCATGGGCCTGATAAGCACCAACACCAACATGCGCCAACAAGCGGGGCGGCACAACATGGCGCGGCGAATAGCGGCTCTGTGTCTCCGTTGCTTGACCGCCCACACCTTCAGCTGGACAGGGCGATTGCGGCGTTGCTTGTTCGTGCTGGCTTTGACAGCACCAGCAACCAGTGGAGGGACCTGTTGCTATTGCCCCAGAGGCCACCAAATCAGTCAATGCGCAGCACCTCTGCGCCTGGCGACCAGATTGCCGGGGTGCAAGCACACGGTGGGGCACCTTCCGGCATGCTAGGGCGTGCACACACGAGCCACAACGGCCATGGTAGTCAAGCAAGCCTTGGTGCGCACGAGAAGGACACGTCCTCCTCAACTGACACAGTGGATGGAAACGAACCACCGTGCAAGCGGCGAGCCACTGTGGACAAAGGCAACTTTTGCAGTCAACACCAGATGGATGAGACAGGCGACAACGACGAAGCAGAAGCAAAACCTGGTGGTGACGATGGAGGGGCAGACGACGCTGCCATGACTGCCCCTCAAGAGCCCGTGGCGGTGTTGCGAGCGAACCTCATGCACCACATCTTCGCGTGGGCAACCAAGGCGAAGAAGCACAGCGAGCTTTGTGGTCGATATCAGCCCAATGTCATGGACTGGGCTCAGGCATTACATGAGCACGGTAACCCATTGCCACAGTGTGCATGTTCTGCCTGTTTTCGTGCACATGTGTGTAGATGTGTGCAATATATGTGTGTTGTGTGCATGTGCGCGTGAGTGTGTGTACGACTCTCTCCTGTGTGTGTGTGTGTGTTGACCAATGCGATCCTTGTACCACAACGTGTACATTCGCTTATGCTGCGTGTTACTTGCTCGCAGGCGTGAAAGCGAAATCCCTGCAAGAAGCGGCGAATGACTTTGCTAGCAACCCTGGTATTCGCGTGTGTCTGCGCACAAGCCTTGTGTCGTGCTCGTGCGATGCAATGCTATGCGATGCTATGCTACACTATGTTGCGCTATGCTGTGCTGTGCTGTGCTGTGCTGTGCTGTGTTGTGTGTCACAGGGAACGCCCTGTTCTTTCGTCTTCTTCAGG